GGTCTATCCATTTTTTATTTTTAATGTTTTGGCCTTAAAGATTCTGCACTAAGCTTGCTAAGTCCGGTATTTGTCTTTAGGGGATTGTGCTTCAAAGCAAATAACCCCCTGTTTTTTGTCTTTTTTCATGGCTATTTCCATGTAGTAAATGGGCATTTGTAAATTAATTGAACATATTTGTATAGTTTCCTTCTTGCTACATAAATGTGTAAATGGAAATACTCTCAAAAGCTTGCGAATAGTTTGAATTTAAGCACCCTTTGTACATGCTTTCATTCTTAGCAAGGAAAATAATGGAAATAAAGTTACTTTATATGTTGCACAGTTACTTTATATGTTGGACACGTAAACATGCAATGCCAGGTAAAAGGTGGAAGTATACACAATGTACATCAAATATGTACAAATTGTACAATTATAATATCTACATAGATCTATATAAATGATATAACATGCAGTATGTACTCATCACTCATCTATTCATTCACACATTTACTATGCTACTGAACCTAATTAAACCAGACACAAGACTTTGTGTTTGTTTACCTGTCATGTTTGGAAGTGCTTGTGTACTAATACATATGTGAGTGAGTGTTTTAGTGTGGTGTATGAGTGGATTGTTTGTGTTTTACAGTATATATTGATAGTTTGCTACCATTTAAACTTGATTCACTCTGTTTTACCTTGAAACCAGTAGTAAATTGTGTTACAAGTGCTGCCATGTTTTCCCATGTTGAAGGGCTCGAGAGATGTGTTTGACACATTTTTATCATGTCTACTTCAGAAAAAACGTACTGAAACATACAATAGATCTCTTTTGCTGCAAGGTAGTCTTTCTCATTCATACCTTGTTTTATGTTTGTTTTCAGTGAACACTGTTCCTTATTGTCATATTTTCTCAGGTCATGATTTGTTGAATAAGGACTAACAGAAAATGAGGCCCAAACCCAGGGTATTATGCCATGAAAAGCAGTCTCTTCTACTGCTGTCAGTTTAGACACACACCAGATGTTCAGACAAAAAGGAGAAGGAGAAGAGAGAGAGAGAGAGAAAAAAAAAGATAGATAGATAAATAAATAGAAATTGGTTATCATAGTGCTTCTCTACAAATGATCCTATGTATTTTTTTCTCATTCCTCCTTTTTCTTTTTATTTCATTTAGATTTTCAATTTTAGATTTTTTAATTTGCACCCTGTAAACATGACATGTACAGCTGGCTGTGTAAATTTGCAGCCACCATTATGTAACACTAGTGCATTCAAGTATAATTATGTCAGTCCTATTAGGAAAACTTTGTTAAAAAGTCTTTCTTTATTTAATAATAGGGTTTATATTGTTATATCTGGAGGCACTACGGTGTTGGCAAATAAAATTCCAGCTTAATAGGATTAATTTGGCTTACTGTATCTGTAGATCCCCCCCCCCCCCCCCACCCACCCTTTTTCAATCTTTTTGTTTTGGTTTTCTTTTCCTTTTTCTCTTTCTTTTTCTTGGCAGTTGTTAAACACATCAAATATATAGGTTTGTTCATGAAAAACTGATATGTAAAGATATTATCCTTCCAATGATTTGTCATTGTAATGTTGATGATTAGTTATATTTTTTTTATTGCCAAATGATTATTGCATCAACAATTTTTAAAGTAAGGTGTTTTTATTGCGTTTCTAAATTTAGTTTTACCTAATTGTTATTTGATATTCATGAATGATTTATTTTTTTATTGTTTACAGCTTTATGATGATGTCAGCTTTTCCCTGAATGATGTCATTGAGATTGTAGGAATCTTGTCAGTAGACCCTTCACTAGCAAGACAGAATGCCAACAGTGACAATAATGAAATGGAGTTCATGGATGTGGAAGAGGATGCTGCAAGATGCCCACCTCCATCTCTTGTTCCTAGGTAGGTTGTGTGAAAAGTCTTGTTCTCTTATGTTTGCTTCTCCCATCTTGCACTTCTATTCCTTTCTATTTTTATTCCTTTTTTATTTTTTCTTTCTTTTTATGTTCTTTGTTTTACATGTTTTTGGTTATTTTTGTTATTTATTCATTTATTTTAATTCTCTTTTTATTCATACTCCACAGTTGTGATATGTTGCATGACAACATACAAGATTATGAAGTTTGTCTGTAGACAATAATCTTCTATTGTCTGTAATGCAAGATTTTCAATATGAACTAGATACCACTGAGATGGCATGTTTATTTTATGAATTATCATTTCATATGAATGGCTTTACAAGTGTTTAGTCACAAAGGAGTCAGTTAATAGTACAAACTATCTCACCTATTTACCCTTTTCTTTGATTTTTGGAAATATTTTCTATTATGTAATTATTACACGACAGTTTTTTCTTTCTGGCAAAGTTTGTGGCAGGCCACTTGTGGAGCCATCTGTATGTAAGCACATTTCACAAAATAAAACTATAGTAAACATTAAAGGTTACTGGCAATATTGGTTAAAAACATAAAACTTATTATTTTCAGGTTACATGTTTTAACTGCACGCAAGATGCCCCACACAAACCCACTCCTCCCAGGTGATGTTGTAGAGAGTGACACCACCAATGGGATAGTAGCAGATATGAGGGAAACAAGAGAAGTTTTGCGGAAAATACTTGAAGAGGCTTTCTTAGGAGATGCCCTCACTGCTGAATTGATGGTGTGCCACCTGGTTTCATCAGTATACCTAAGACAGGTATGATATTGTGAAGTGCTGGTGTCTGTTCTGTATTCCTCTGAATGCAACCAGTTATCAAAAACAAGATTGCATTGGACATTATGTTTTCCCACCAGTATTGTATTAGATAATTGTCATGAGTGTTCAAGAAATTGGATTATTCTCTATTTTTTAAAATGAACCAATCATATGTTTTGTTTAAGCTCAGTTTTCTAAGTTGCATAGGTTGGTATTACTAATTGAAAAATCTGACATTTTTAACACATCTCCCTATTTATGCAGGATGTTATTGCATTAGGAAAGTACAGCATAAATGTGTCGGGCATAAGCAAAAGCCTCCAAGAGCAGAAGTACACCAGCAGTCTCTACCAGTTACTTAGCTTGTTTGTTACTCAGTCGCATTTCTTCCCAATGACCTTAAGCAACATGAATAAGGTTAAATTTGTGCCAAAGAAGGTAAGTCATGCCAGTCTGCTTTTGCATTTTTACATTTCTGAAATACAAACATAGGCTATATAAAGTCAATAAAGTCTGGAATATATTTATACACATGGCTTAAATCTTTAAGTATACTGTACTTGTTGGTTCTAATGGACACCAAATTTAAATTTATTTCCTTGTATGGGTTGAGTATTTTATTGATTTATCATAGTTTTGTTGATTCCTTGTTCTGCTGTCCCTTGCCTGTTTCTATAGTGACATTTCAGGTTTTAGTAATGTAGGAACTTTGAATACAATAGGTGTATATTTTGAAAACTTACTCATACATATTTTATGGGGGCGACTTGGGAGCAGATTCATTTCATTAACCTTCTAATCCTTTTTTTTCCACCCCTATGTTTTGCATATAGGACTACCAGTCAAACCGTCTTATCAGTGGACTACTACAGCTGAGTCAGCATACACATCTTGTTCTGGATGAGACAGCCCTAACAGCTGGGCAGTTGGATACCCAAGGAGTGCAGAACCTGACAGCCCTGGGCAATGCTATTAACTGGCAGAAGGTTGATTATGATTTCCAGTATCACCAGCTGGAGCAGTTCACCAATATTCCAGTCATCATATTCTCTGAGGGAAGAGCAATGATCAGTAGGTGGGTGTGTCTTGATTTTGGTAATTGGTTTTGATTATTCCTATTAAAGTAAAAGTTTTTTTTGTGAGAGTATATTGTATAAACTGCAGAATTACATTGATTTTATCATTTTCAGTGATGCAGAGATTAGATTGCAGCCAAACAACACAGAAGTCTCTGCAGCATTTAATCGCATCCAGGCACAGTTGACACCAGACATTCTGAGGAGGATTCGGATATACCTAACAGTTGCCAGGCTTAGCAATTATAATCTCTCAGAGGATATGCAGAAGGTAAGATTACTGACTGAAGATAGTGGAAAGAAGGTAAGGTAATGCAGTCAATATAATTTTGTTATTATCTTAAACTCCCATGTATTGCAGATTAATCCTCTGGGATTGAATCTTTTGCTATTATAACTTGATATGTATTTGTTGTTGTCCAAAAAGCTATCTATTTAAATTTTGCCTAAAAAGATCATTCCTCTCTTGAAATTCTTCAGATGGTGCAAGATGATTTTGTTGACAGCCGGAAGAATGACAATGGTATTTCTGCAGAGGACCTCCACAACCTTCTTATACTGGCAAGGTGAGTGCATGTAGTGTTTTGGTGGCTCTCTTCAAATTAAAACTAAGGCAAGTGTTCAACTCATTGACGGTGGGATGATGTCCTGTCATGTCATGCCAGACCATCCCTCTTGCTGGGATAATGTTATCATGTCATGTAATGTTAAGCCTGCTCCAAGTAGTGTGTACAAAACAGTAGTACACTTGTTTGGTCCTGGCTTCAGTCATTGAGAAATGCATGTCAAAAGTAGGCTTATTTTTTTTTTTTTTTTTTTTTTTTTTTTTTTCAACCTCATTATCTAAAGAATCATTTATGCTGCAGCTAAGAAGAGTATAGAGAGCAGGATAATCTTATGGTTCCCAGGCTTCTATTTTTTTTCCTCATGGAACTGACTCTTCATACACTGTATCCCATGGTTCAGTAAGGCACTAGGGGCTGCTGTCATGAATTGGTTAACCATCAAAGTCCTATTCACCATTATTATGGCTTGTAAAGTCATCCTTGGTCAGTGTTATTTGCCACAGTTGAGCATAGGCTGTCAAATACAGGCATCCCACCACACCCACAATATCATCCCTATTTTCCAATTCCCTTTGTAGAACCTCTTCAACCAGAGCCAGTTTTACAGTCATATTACCTGTCACTTTCTTGTGAATGGTATTCCGTGAGTTTTAAGTGGGAATTCATGAACTTTGTGGCATATTTCATGTAGCCAACCCTCCCTCCCTCCCTTATCCTCTCTCACAGTCTTCTTCACAGCTGTTACCTGATGTATCATAGTCTTTTTATTATCTGTGCATTAAGTACAACTAATTGCACATCGTATTATCTTATATGAACAAGATTTTTGTTGCTTTATATGCAATTGTATACATTTTCTTGTGTGTAAAATAAATGTTCTGAAATACCATGAACCAAATTTAGCTTTCGCGAAACAAAAAAAATATAAGGCAAAGGGGGCGGGGTTAAACAAACAGTTGAGAATTTTAATCATAAATTCCTCCAACTTGATATCTACTTCAATTTTCTTTTCAGACTTGTAGCTGTAAGTTGTGGAGAAAACCATCTCACTGCTGATGTTTGGAAATGTACAAAGATTCTTGAGAATGAACGTAAATTGCGTGTTCGTTCACAAACACAGTGAAATATGATTTCTAGAGAAAATGTATAGTAAACTTAAATCAACTATATTTTGATATTTGACATAGTTGTCAATTAATATTTACACATGTATTTTTTTTTTATGCTGTTATGACTCAACAAATACGATTATGAAACCTGTAAACTGTTCATCTGTCCATGAAAAGGAGGCTAAATATTAACTCTTCATATATTGATGTAAACAGTAAGGATGAAGTTGTTCCCTACCTTACTCATGCAGGTGAAGCAGTATTTACTGAGCAATTTGAAGGCTGTTATTGTATGACAAAAAAAATAAAAATCAGTCTTCAAATTTTCCATGTTACTGGGCCAAGAAAGTATTTTTTCTATTTTGAACATTCCCTCCTGTAAATCTGTGATCTGATAAAATTCTTTTACTTCTTGATTTAGGTTTTTCTTTTTCTATTTTCTGTAAACTGAAAATGCAAGTATAAGAGTTTGGAGAAAGTAATTTGTCTTGATATCCTATGATGTATAATATTAAAAAGGTGGGTCATTTCTAAGGTACATATAACCAGGTAACTCCATATCCATGTATCTTATTGAGCCCAAAAATGAAATGGACTTTTACACAAGAGTCTTCTTGAAGGCTGTTGATGATAAGAAACTCGTAGCTACTATAATTAGAAGAGGGGATTTGGTTTTACTTCTGGTAAGTATAACAGTATTGAGTAAATTAATTAAATAATTATCTATCTAGCTATATTTGATATCTCATTGGTTAAACATGACTGCACTAGCTCTGCCACATTTTTTAAAAAACCCATCAATCTGTGTGATATTTTATGCTAAGAGGTATTTCAGGCCTTTTCTTTGAAAATGGTTATGTAATAACTGTTTAAAAAATGGTAAAAAATGAAACCAAAAAAAAAAAAAAAAAAAAAAAAAAAAAAAAAAAAATGATGAATATTAGCAATCAATAAAGGTGATGAGGCAGGGCTTTGCTTGGAAGTTGCCCACTAGGATTTTCATCATGATGGAATGGTTATACTGTGTAAAGTATACCTTGCTTATTTCAATGAGGCCAAGTTGGTAATATTTCCCTTCCATTTTTTTTTTTTTTTTTTTTTTTCTCTCTTTTTTTTCAGAGGATTTCAGTTGTTGCTTCTTTATGTAAAGTACATATATTATGAACATGTATCTTAGTATCTGCTATTGTTATAAATGTCTTGGAAGACTAATCATTCATGTGTATTAGTTTATTATCCTTAAGATAGAGATCTGACTTCAACATTATCAACCATAGCAAATATTGAATTGTAACATGTTCATTGATATTCATTTGTATTCTAAAGACAATGCTCTAAACAATAAGCATTCATCATTAATTTCCCCAGGTTTCCTTTTTTGTGGTTATTATTACTGTGGTCACAGTACCACTGCAGAATCAAAACTTGTATCCTCCAGAATGTATTGATAAATAGAGGATTATCACAAGTAACAAAGTTATGCTTTGGGAGGAGGTTGGTATGGTCAAACAGGGAGGGATTGTCCACCAATGTAGATACGAATGGGAAGGTCATGTGTACTGAAAGTGTTTTGGTAATGGTGGGTTTCTTTCAATGTCCTCTAGGAGGAATGGAGAAGCAATGTACTGATTTCACGTCTTGGTCTTTGAGGCAGCCGAGTAAGTCTTCTCCACAATCTGACCAATCTTTGGTATCGACTGGGCAATTTGCTGGGGAGATGAGAGACAGTTCCAGTACAAGTATTAAGAGTTGGATGAGGTTATGCAGGAATGGGGTTGCCAGAGAGATCAATTAGTTTTGATAATGCTATAGCTTCAGTTTCAGATGTGACTGTTATGAGACGGGAGAGATCGTTTCGGGTACAGAATGGAGGCATTGATGAAAAAGAATTGGGTAGCCTGAGTAAGGAGCTGTAAGGGGGGATCACGAAAAATTGGCCCCATTTAGCGGGGCTAAATAGAATATTTAAGATATTTGTAGAGTTGGTGGTGGTAGAAGGATGGGGACGTGTGGAAGAGGGAGTGTTGTTGAGGGGGGTAGTATTACGGAGAGATGGAGAATAAGGCTGTAAGGTAGTAATAAGGGAGGTTGGGGTGTTTGATGAAGGTTGTAGGGGTAGAGGTGATGAAGTTGAGGAAGTTGGGAGAGTAGGAATGTCTTCTGGAGATTGAGTCTCAGCTTGGGTGGGTAATGCACTAGTAGGCATTGAGGAGTGGGTAGTAGTTTCAGTGTTCAGAGTTGTTGTCAAAGGAGAGCCTAGGGTCAGGGAGCCGGTAGAGTCTGAAATAGTGGGGCTATACCTACTTACTTCCCTACTTCCATTTCTACATTCTACCTCCCCCAGTCAAATTCTTTTGCTACTCAAAACCCAGACACTCCAATCTCAACTACAGCCACAACACCATCCCCTCTCCCTCCCCGCACTACCTGCAGCAGACAGACTAAACGTTCTTCCCCTTCTTCCCCTATTGCACATTCACCTCCACCTAACTTAACCTTTATTCCTCAGACACCAGTCTCCTCTTCCCCCCCCTCATAAGAAAACCTGTCTCACAAAACTCTCCAACCAACTCCACTGCAGAAACTATGGAAGATATCCAAAACTATATGCTTGAGACACAAAATTCCACAACTCATGCTACCTCCACACTCTAAGTGAATGCCGATATCCATCCCCCTCCTGCTCATATTCCTCCACCCCTTCCTCCTACTCCCTCCCAACACAACCCAACCCCCCCAACACCAACTACTGCCAATATCCATCCTCCCGACACCAATCCTTCCTCCTACTCCTTTCCAACACAATCCACCCTCCTCAACTCCAACTACACATATATTCTCCCTCCCTCCATCCCCTCTATCATTTCCACTCCCTCATATTCCCCCTCCTCAATCCACCACCCTCAACTCCAACTATACACACATTTTCCCTCCCTCCTGGATACACATGTGAAACACTTATGTAATTCCCTTACCTAAACCCACCATAGCCCATTTACACAGCAACTTCTTTACCGATCTTTAACCTTTCAAGATCACTCTAGATAGTTGACGAATAGCAACTATCACTCTTCACCCCTCCTTTAATATACTTTCCTATAGTGCTATATGACCTTAGATGTCTAGCACATTTATTTTTGCTTTTAACCATTAACCATTAACCATTGGTGGGAGAACCATTAAACCTGAGTGGTATTGATAAATAGGAGCTATAAAAGACGAAAAAAAAATTGTGTGATGTGGTGAAGAGACTAGTTTTAGTTTCCATCCAGAGTATTCAAAGATGGCTTGGAAAATGAAAAACCCCAGAGAGGACAGTTTTCAGTAGTAGAAAAACATACCTTCCTGTTATTTGGTCTTTAATTATCAGTGCACCCTCCCAACTCATTCTAGTTATTTTCATACCTATTTGTACACTTAGGTAAATATTTAACCCTTTGGGTAATCTTTTTTTTTTTTTTTTTTGGCTGTAATGGTGATAGGAATGTTTTATTTTAGGAAAGTGATTTAAACATGATCATGTAAAAGAAAATTATTGAACTTCCAATGTATTCTGTTAACCCATTTCATGTAATGAGATGTAGGTATGCACCAAAGACACATGACCATATTCTCGATTTTGGAATAACAGAACTTAAGATTGTATTTTACTGCCAGTCTTAATCCCAATTCTGCATCTATTGAGATTTATTTTGTGTCATTTATAATATAATGCATTCTTTTTTAGGATGTATGTGGGGGGATAGTACCTTTCCTACCTTTACAGACATGGATTAATTTCAATATGAAACAAAGCTACTTTTCAAATAATTTATTAAACTGATCGATACAAAAAAAAGGAATGGACATCATATTTCTACAATGAAATGCGACAACAAAGATAAAATCCACTGTATTTTGTTGTATGAACAATATGCTTCCAATTAACATAAATGGGTGATACTAAATTTCCATTTGTACTATTAATGAAAAGTTAGCACAAATTTAACTGATAATGTATGCAATACACTATATGAAATATTCTCACTACAAGTTGATTACTGAAACAAAGATGCATAATAAATTGCAAGACCCTTGTCAAAATACAATATACTTAAAAAAAAGAAATAAGTACTGTAGATAAATAATCTTGATGTTCCTAGAATGCTTTTGTTAACCAATGCAAGTATCTAAGCATTATTTCAAACCTTTCTATTGGCTAAAACCCCTTACTGTACTAGTATTACCATAGAAATATACGAAAAAAATAATACCACAGCCTAATACTTTGAAATGCACATGTTTGACATGGAGCAGCTATAAGTAAGAAGCCTTACACAAATTCATCTTCATAAAATCAATAATAAATTTAATAAATTATTACAGAAAAGTTGGTTCTCTTTATACTTACATCAGTAAAATATACCAAAAGTAATAAAAAAAAAATATATTAAAAAAAACTGATTCCTCTTCCTATTCCAAATACAATTATAATAATAATAAAAATAATGACTATCATAACAAACTGGATAAAAAAAGAAATGGGTTGAGGAAGGCATGTTCATCACTATGTCATGATAAAAAATCCCTTATCCAAACAGTTAAAAAATAATAATTTCTCTTCCTACTTCAAAGACAATAAAACCAAATATATCCCTTTGTATATACCACAACACAAACTGCAAAAAATGAAACAATAGGGTGAGGAAGGGGTGTTCATCACTATGAGTCATGATAAAAATGCCTTAGCTAAGTTTAAATCCTTAGTCACTTCCTGGATCATCTGCAGCCTCTACCTCGTCAGCTTTATAATGCCGGTACTCGGGCTTTAATTCCCACATGTTCCTGTGAGGGTTCTTGACATTGTAATCACATACTTCATTCAGGATCTCCTTCAGGTAAGTCTGTTGAAAGAAAAAAAGATCAGTGATCATCATGACAACTGTTAAAAATATGAAAGCAAACATTTTCAAATGATGACATTTTTATTTCATATTCTATATTTGAATGCATCTTCCCGTGTATTGTCCGAATTAATTCCTATGTGTTTCCGAATGGAGTGTATCCTTAAAAATCATTATTGGTTGAAACAAATAAATGTGTTACACATCAAAGGTCATATAGCACTATCATTAAGTACTGTGGTGAAAAGGGTAAAATTGAATTAACAATTATGATAAAATGTGTTAGATGTCAAAGGTTATAGTGTTATAGGATAGTGTGATAGGGAAAAGGGTAAAGGGGGGATGCAAATGAAGTAAATTGGACATTAATAAAGGAAAGGCCTAAGGGCATACAGCGATTGGATGAAATGGAGTGTATCTGCAGCTGGGGAATCATTAGGAACATTGTTTAAGGAAAACTGGCAAAAGAGCTGTTGGAGAAGTAGCAGGAGAAGAATCCAGGGAATGAAATAAGGGGACTGGGGAAGATGGTGAAGTATCAGGAAGAATGTCAGGAGGGAAGAGATCTGGAAAAGGACACTGTTGAGACAGTAAGGATTTATGTGAGCATCCAGGTGGGAGAGGTAAGATAATAGGGAATGAAGAGGGAATGGTGCACATGGTGGATATCGGCAAATACTTTGAATGTAGAAGGAATGGAAATAGAGGGATTGGAGGGTGGATGAGGAAGCAGAACATTCTCTTCGGTCATGTCTATGAATTTTTGGTTGTCTTCAAGAGTTTCTGCAGGAGAGTTGGGTAGAAAGGTCTGAGAAACAAGAGTTGTCTTGCGAGAAGAGGGGATGGATGTTTGAAGAGCATAGGAAGAGGAGGGTGTCAGAGAGGATATGGTAGGCAAAGATGGAGTGAAACAATTAAGTTATTTGGTATGACAAGTGAAGAGAGGAGGGGTAGACATCTGAGAAGTGGTAGAGACTGGAGTATCTGGATTTAGACTGGAAAAGGTATTTGACTTGGGGAGAGGGGGATTAGAGGTAGGATGGTTCAGGGTTGAGGGAAGAAATACTGGGGAAAAACCTAATCACTGTGCTTCTTGTCTGGCCTCACATAGCGTGAGACCTAGTTTGAATCAGAACTGCTTCCTCACATTTGAGCTTATAAGCAGGGCAGCTCCAATAAAATGTATTATTGGCACATGTAGGTGACTGAGTTGGGCAATTTGAATGGTCATAGAGGGCAGCAGGCTGTGGAGCAACACTGTTTGGCTGAGTGGCCATTGATGAGGAAGGGGTTTATATGGTTGGATGGGGCAGGACACTCCACTAACATAAACTTCATGAGGGAGGTCATTTCTACAGAAGCTCATCTCAGCAATATTGGTGTAAGACTTGGCCATCCTCTGGGAGGAATAGTGTAGCATTGTATTGCTACTGCACCATAGTCAACAAGGCAGGCAGGATTTCACTGTCTGATCAGTTCTTGTTGTAGATAGGAAAATCAGTTGGGGAGACAGAAACAGTTCCAGTACAAGTATTAAGCAAGGAGCTGGTTTCAGGAGGAATAGGTTTGCCAGTGAGGTCTATCAGGGTAGATAGTACACGAGCTTGGGTAGATAGTACACGAGCATGAATGATCAGAATGATTGCGAAACGAAACTTTGCCTACTTGTTTTTGGAGACATTGTTGGAAGAGAAGGGTACTGTCAGAGTAAGGGGCTGTAGGGGGAATCCCACTTGGCTGGGCAAAGAGAGTACTCAAAAGATTTGCAGAGGTGGAAGCAGTAGAAGGACAAGGGTGGGAGGAAGATGGGGTGGTGTGGGGTGAGGTAGTACTGTGGGGAGGAGGACAATTATGAATAGTAGTTATGAGGGGGAGCCAATGAAGAAGACTGTGCAGTAGGAGATGGAAGGGAGAATGTTGGGATTAGAGGAAGGGGTATATTCTGAAGGTTGTTTAATGACCTGGGTGGATAGTTCAGAATGGACAGAGTCATCAGTAAACGTTGTGGAGGGAATATTAGATTCAGTGGTTGGAGCTGTGGAGCAGCGGTTAGGAAACCAAAAATTCTAATTTAGATAGGCTAGTTGATGAAGGAGCAAGCCTTAATGCCCCTAATAAGGATTAAAAATCATTATTGGCCATGGTGGGCCTGATATAAGTGGGGAAAAGAAATGGTCTACCCCTCATGGTCCCCATATGGGGTAAGGGCAATGCAACTAACCAAGGGAATACTGTGCCCATGGCTCCTGGAGGCCATTCATGACTGACACAAAGCCAGCTTTTCATCCTTTCAGCATGGCTCTCACACTTTAGGATGTGGACTGAAGAGGATGAAGTAGAAGAGGAAAATGAAAGGCAAGTAAAAAAAGATCATGCAAAATTAGTTGAGGTGAGGGCTGAGGTCCAAGGTTGAGGTATTCCCCTTCACTGTTGGAAGGGGAGAGGGTATCTTTAAAAAGGCTGAATAGTTCATACTGGTGTTGAAGTTCAATTTTGTACATGCAAAGGGACTATTTTCCCTCCCCAGAAGATGGGCAAAACTGTTCATTTATCTAAAATATATACTCAAAGAACTTACAATTGGTTGCCGTGTAATTTTCTGCAGATCCTTGATGTTATAGTACTGATGTTTTTCAAAGGCAGCAAAGAGCATCTCCATGACTTTGTCCTTATCATCACGAGCCTTTTTACCTTCAGCTTTCTTACGCTCTTCTAACTCAATCTTTTAGTAAAAAAAGAAAAAGAGTGAGAATCAGATTATATTTGTAAAATACTTGAACTGTAAATATCACATGTAAATCTAATTCTAAACTTGTATCTGCCATTCCAGTGTTCATACTTATGGTATGAGTGACTCAAATCTGGAATGTTTTTGTCAAAGCTTCAAAAGACAAATTGACTATATGGTAACTCTCCTTCCTCTTTCTGACCACAAGACAATAAATCAGGTTGTAATGATTAACACTTGTAGTGGTTATCGAAATGTGATTATTTCTACTAAAGTGGTGCCTTTAGAGGAGTGTTGTGCCACTGCTTAAGGCCTGATCACACAAGCGCTTTTTCCATTAATTTTTGCATTTCCTTATGAACTTTCTGCATGGTAATAGTCTAACCCAACTACAATAGCAGAGTACCACTGCTCCCCTCAAAAACAAACATATCACCATCCAAGGTGAGACCCAGGAATCACATGAGCACACTCATACATTTTCCAATATTAAATTTCAAACAATTATGTAAAGGTGAATAACTATATTGTAAAAAAAAAAAAAAAAAAAAAAAAAAAAAAAATCTAGAACATTCCATTATTTTTACACATGGAAATACAAAAATTAACAGAAAATTGGCTACTGTTCCATAGGGGATGACAAAGTGAGTTGCTGAACTTCAATAAGTAGGCAAAAAACATGGAATATTGTGTTGTTGCCCTCTGCAGGTGATAGGATTGCCTTTGTAAACGCATCTGAAAGAAATTTATGTATTTTGAAGCTAGGTGCACATTCAAATCTTTGGGGTGAAAATGGTCCTCTATAACATTTCAATGGTTTAATTTAAAGGACATTATTATAAGTTTTAATCAACATCTTTTCATTTATAGACATAAAAACATGTTGAATATTCTTACTATAATGTATCTCATATGACATATATTTTTGCTTACATAATACTGATGCATCAACCCTTAAATTGAATAATATCAAATTGCAATAGTGCAAGGCTTTAGGCTAAAAGGTAGCCTAATATCACTAGTAATACTCTCCTATGAGATTGGCTTGTACATGGGGACAGACTTATATTGTGCCTGCATCATCACTTTGACTAGAGAACCTTTTTAGAATAATGAAAAGAATGAAACAAAATGAAATAGCATGTGCACAGATGAATGTACCTTTTTCTTTGAAATTTGGTAGCTCCTCAAGTTAACCAATGCTAACAGGGATGGCATGTACGTATACACCATGCACACACTGAGTTTAGTTTATAAATTGTGTTGACACACAGACGACTCTTAGTCACCAAGGAGTAAATTACTGGTCCTACTTATCTTGCCTGTGCTCATTTCCTATATCTTTGGCAATACTCTTTTTCATTTTCATTTTCAATTAGTTCTGTTAATAACATAAGAATCATATAGTCAATAATTATAAAAACATTGATATTAATAGTATTAGAAAATCAATATTTCCCCTGAAAACTCAAGGAAAAGGGAGATCTGGTGAGGTCACATAGGTCTACTAATTAACTCCTTGATGGCTGAGTACTTGTGGATCCATCTTTGTCTCCACACATTTCATAAAACAAAATTACAGTGGACATTGCATGTTTCCAGCAGCATTGGATTAACTAGAAATGCTTTTCATATTTGTCTCTTACCATTACCCTTGCATAAGGACCATTTAACAAATGAAAAAACAATAGTACTCATTAGCATCACTATAAACAGATTCATACTGATCAAATAGCATTCTTCATAGGGTGAGAAATGTATACAAATTTGGGGTCCTATTACAAAGCAGGAACTTAAACACATCAATTACAAATGAATAAAAATTATGAAAAATATGGTTCAGTAAGTAATTAACCTACAGTATGCTTGTGAGTTGCAACGGGGCGGTAGACTGTGACAGGCCTCTGGATGAACATAGACTGGCGACATGGCTGGGCTGCCTTCTTCACAGCTTCTCTCTTCTGGTTCAAGTAATATGTATCCACTAAAAAAATAAAACAAAAATTTAAATCTATCCCTGCTAAATCCATATTTCATAATATCAATTCAAAACAAGGCATTTTACTCATTTTTGGAAAAAGTTTCTATTAGATACATTATATCCAATACCTGGATAATATCTTTAAAGTTGACAAGACCACTAACCAACTGGCTGACACTCAAATTTCTGGATGACCTGCCCTTCCATAAACAGTTTCTCTGTCTCTGGAACTACAGCATCACTGCTTCCACTGGCTGAAATTAGTAGAATTATTCATAAAAATATCATAACACATAAAAGAACCATATCTGACACTGATGACAACATATCAGAGGGATAAACAGCAAAAATATATACTTACAGACTGTATGTGAAAACACCCCTAATGTTTGTTCTTTTACACTGTGTAAAATGAATTTGTGTTCTCTTGGGGTCTTGCTATCCATCAAGTTTTCTGAGGACTTGAATGTAACTGTTGGTACCTTTCCTGGAGCCCTAATTAAAATAAAAATCCATCTAGCAGTAGAGTTTATGAAAATGTAAATTAGAAATTGTGACAACATATTTGACTGATATGCCAAAAAAAAAAAAAAATTACATACTTGTTAATTCTGAGCTTTCCAACATCTCCTGGGCATTCTACCCACTTATCCTTCATATACTTGGGAATCTGTAAATACATACGAGCATATTCTTAGCATCAGGATTCAGCATAGTGGGTTTCCATATGTCATTCAAACAGTCATTTTTTTATGATCCATATACTTCTAACACTTAATGTGAAATAATTTAACATGACAAGTGTGGTTACATTCCATCTTTGTAAGGCATAACTCACACCATGGAGAGATGTATGATACTATTGTGTAATGCTGATCATCAATTAACAATTCTGGTCAAAACTGTTGATGCACAGCAAAAAAAAAAAAAAAAAAAAAAAAAAAAAAAAAAAAGATTTCACCTTATAGTGCATGCATGGATTTTCTTTTGCTGCAGACATGTCGTCTGTCATTTACAAATTTGATACTTTGATCCCAATATTCTTATTTATTTTTGGCATGGTCTTACTTATCAATTTGAACAATTTTGGCACTAATGGACAGTTTGTGTGGGCCAATATGAATAACAGGGGAGTGGCTTGCTTTTGAAACAATTTTAATAATCTACTGGAAATTCCCTGATTTCAATGACTCAGGGTACTGTCTCATGTGCAAATGAATTGTTGAGGAGATCCAAGTACCATTTCCATTGACAATCTTGACTTCATAGTCGCAATAGCATGGGAGGGTACAAAGTATATCAGGGGAATTATGGGGATAAAACAGGATGAAATAGGATGAGCGCTTAAAATTACTTAATGAAAATGTGCCTGCCATAGTTGAAAGTCAACACACTGACATGAAAAAAAAAAAAAAAAGGGAATTCACACAATCCAAAACCCCAGTGGTGATCGTAATATATGCCCAAACTAATAAACCAACCTAACTCCACATCACAAACTTTATTCAACAATCTAACTTGCCATGACTGGGCATTGCTCCCCAACATTCCTTGGCAAATATTCTCTTCACCTCAGTATGCACGCCAATTTAGAGCGTAGTGCATCCTCACCATAAAGAATTAACCCATATACCTCTGTATAGTGAAACACCAAACTTTTCTTTGCTTCTGTCTACTGTCTGAATTGCTTAATTTGTAATAACTTTTTTTGGCAACTCCTGGGCTCAAATATCAAGCTGTGATATTTACTAATGTCTATTTCTTCTGCATAGCCACTATACTGCTTTAAAAAGGGCCCAGAATCAACACAATACTGAAAACAAAAAAATTCTCACTAGTATTTTGTCACAGCATGGTCTCCAAGAGTTGTTAGATATTGTGGTGGAAAAAACCCACATCTCAGATTATTGTACAGAATTGTATAAATAAATATTAAAACACGTTAAGGAAGTATATTAATATCAATAAAAAGCATAACTGTGGTACAATAAATACTGATAATTAGCAAAATATCATTTGAAAAGCATGTAGTAATACATGTACTACTTGGCAGATTGCAGAAATGAGTTTTGCAGCCAGTGTAGTATTAATCCTCGCAATGTTAACAGGGAGAGCAACTGGATTATAAATATGATATCTCTTCTGTTCTTTCATGTAGAACATCTTTAAGAAGCATTTGCACACATACTGCCATAGAAGAACTTTGTCTTGGTTTGTATTACTTATTCATTTCATATAGGTTTTATTAACCAACTTTGCCACTACCTTGAACTACATATTATCCCTGTATTCTGTAAAATTAACCTTGCCCACCCTTTCTAGGGAATAAATAGAAAATAGGGTTAATATCTGCGGTATGAACGCACTAAGCAAATTGAATATGATATTCTTGTAGAGGACAAAAAGTTGGAGTCATCTGTATATGAAATAATCTGCTAACACAAACTGTAACATCACAAATAAAGGAAAAGCATGTGGAAAGCACAGCTCTCAGCCAAAGTCCATTTGGTGCTCCCAAGTTTCAGCTCCATCTTGCCATGTATACCGAGGTAAAGACAATGTCTCCCAGGGGTGTAAAGGGGAAGAGTTGCCCATCAATCCTCCCCTTGGGCAGTCAGCTGGTCTTGGCAACTTAGATTAATAAATATATTTTTTTACATGGAATTGGAGAATTAGTCTCTGGCGAGTGCGTTCATGCTGCAAAGAATTACCAAAAGTGGGAAAGATATGGTTTGGATATTTAGGTCTGCATGATACCCTGATATTGGGACTTCATTTCTGGAGGGCATCACTCTTGGTGTCACTCTTGGTGACAAATTTCAGTTATTTTACCATTCGTGACAATCGGGACTTCCCAGACAATATTTATATCGTCAGATTTATTCTCATGCAACATTTCCATAGCAATCACAGCCAACACTCTTGATGTGTTACGTCCCAATAGCAGGGGAAGGCATGAAGTATATCAAGGAAATTATGTGGTAAACCAGGCTGAAATAAGAAGAATAGAGAACAAAAATGCATAAAAACAGCACGAAAATAGCTTACAATCAGCTAATGAAACTTCGTAGATGTGTCTGCCATCTTAGAAGTCTACAGACTGACGCACCAACTTTAAAAAACTACGGGAACCTAACCCATCTTTTAGTACAATCTATAGTTAATCTAGAGGATATAGAATTTTAGTAAACAAACATGAAATGCTACTAAAATGGAAGAACAACATGCAAACTAATTGGGCAAGTCAAATTCAAAGCGCAGAAAGACATAATAACGTCATAATATCAAAATAAAGGTACCAAAATTTGTTGCTCGCAGACTAAGTCCTGTTCTTCCCTTATTGGCTAAGTCAATATAAACAAACCATGTAACTTTGAAGATGGCCCTTAAGAAAGTAGTACGCGTGCTACTCTCTATCATTTGAGAGACATTTACGCAAAATTTTAGGTTGATTTTCGATACTTACTCTCTAAACAATATAAAGTACTATATAAATTCAGTGAACTAATTTCTCAAATTTATTCACATTCTACGCTCTTCGAAATTTGGTGTGGTGCAGTGATGCGTCATTGGCCATTGGGTCAGAAGTCGTATCACCATGGTTGCGCGCAGTCTTCAAACTGCTGCAGAGAGTGTAATGATCCGGTGAAATGGTTTGTCAGTGGTATGATTTCTAATATGAAACAATGTGAGGATAAAATGAAAATACATAATGAATTAGTGCAGGACCATGGATTCATCTAAAAAAATACTAGAGTGCCCCAAGTGCATGCTACAATGCAAATTTGATATCAAACAACACGTCTTCAGAGTTCTACCCATCCTCTGGCTGATTAAATCAGGTATTTATTCCTTTTTAGTTTGCTTATTGTACTGGCTAGGGAAGTATGGCGATTGGCTAGGGAAGCACAGTGATCGGCTAGGAAAAGCACCGCGATCAGCTAGAGAAGGAAATGTACATTATGTTTTTGTAAAGAATAGTGTAAAACTATCAAAACATGTAAAAAGCTTATCAGAAATAAAGGAATGCATAAAATACATGAATTAAGGTGCAAAATAGCCTGTGGGGTTGCATTTCCAAATTTACCATGCTTATCAGAAATAAAGAAATGCATAAAATACATGAATTAAGGAAATCAGACGTTGAAATTTACAAAATAATTGTCTTCAGAAGCGTGTAGTGATACATGAACTAGTTGAATGAAGGCAGGAATAAGATAAGTGGTCATAGCATTGTAAACATTTGGGATGCAAACAAGACAAAGATCTTCAAAAAAAAAAAAAAAAAAGATGGGTCAATCTTCTTTCTTCTGTCACATATCTCCTTTACTTTCGATTTGTACACCTTATGTCATAGATGAAATCGTTTTAGTTTACGTCAAGGTAATCATATTTTTTTTTTTTTTTTTTTTTTTTACCGTACCCTGATTTTTATCCGCTGTAAATCGACCGTAGAGTTTCCCAAATTTCTGAGCAAGATAGCTTAGAATTATTAAACCACGAAACGAAAGAGACAGAACTCTATCCAACACCTAACTCGTGTCAAGGAACGAACTTACTTTCACCAACCAAACACCACGACTACAGTTAGTGTTATCCAGATCCTTTTCGGCGTGTGAAGAACTCATCTTTGTTCCCTTTAGATTAATAGAGGAAAGTCAAAAGCTTGGAAATATGCGTTTTATCCTTGCGAGACAAGCAGCAGCCGGAAGTCACTGCAAAACACAATTCCAACTAGCTCTGTTGTTTACATGGCACGCATTCGTTGTTGCTGAAATTCTACTTTCACAGACACATTTCGACGATATTATTACTATTTAATTTTTATTACTTCTTAAACTTTATTTTCTTATTATCATCATTATTATTATCACTATTTATTTGATATTGTAATTAGTTGATATAGTGATAGCACTTTATAATCTCTTAGAAAATACTGTTCAGAGTAAATCATCGTATCT